AAAACATTGAAATGACAATTATAAAACATATATAAAATGTGTATCTAATGTAAGTAATAATGTATGTAATTATTATTATTATTAATTATTAATATTAATTATTATTATACTAGAGTGCTTTTATTACTTTTTGTGAAGCAATTATGAACATAGTTTTGATAATTCAATTTCCCAGAATAAATATTAGTTTTTCTTCATCTGTTTTGTTGTTTAGAGGAATTTTGAGCTTATTTAAGAAAATGTATTTTTCATATTTGTAAAGATTACATATGAGCATATATTATTATTAATATAAGTATTTTTTGAATGAAAAATCTGTTTCAACAGTTTCAGTGGATACGGACTATAGATACTACAGGTAACAGCTTTGCTTTACATCTTCGTACGGTTTACAGCAAAGCTAAAAAGACTAGTCATACTTCTGCCAGATATGATTCTATACAAGTAACTGTAAGCAGATTCTCACTGACAAGCTTTTTTTATTAATTCTGGAAAGAAACTAGAGCTCTATACTAAAATCTGTTATACTGAATAAAATGCATGAATTGATAAATAAAATAATGTAAACCTATTTAATTAAGAGCCAAACAAATGGAAGGGAATTTTTGTTGAATAATCAAAAAAGAAAAGTTAGTAATTAACATAGGAAAACAAATGCTAGTTAAATATTTGACAGTAGGTTGTATCAGTCCCCCCCCCCAAAAAAAAAAAAAAATTGTGTACCGGTAGTTCTGTGTACCTACATTTTATGTTTACAGTAAAGTCTTCTCGATTCAACATTTGGATAATTAGAGTCAGTTCTGCACTGAAATACTATGTGACTATGCTCTGCCCACAAGGTTTAGAATAACATGTAGTACATATTAGGTAGTCTAGGGTTATTTAAATCACACACCTTTTTTTATTCGACCTAACTAATGCATTTCAGTCAGGAATGTGGTGTTAAGAGGATTTTTATGAGACTAGACAGCATACAAAACACACAATTGATGAATGACTTATGAAAGGTGGAGAACATTCCATGCATTGCGCATCCGCCCAACAGGGGGGAGTTCCCACTCACCGAGTGTGTAGTTTATTCACTGACAAGTGGAATTGGTATTCATTGATGTGTATTGTTATGCACCACAAAAGGTACCGCTAAATGGTTATTTTTACAAAACAGGAAGTATTGCTCTATTGAGTAGGAAGTATGCATGTTCCTGTTTCGGTTTATCACCACATAATAGCAACACCTACTATGGGTGTGTCAGCAAATTGCTCACCTAATTGCTTCAGGTGACTTTTTGATAGATGGACCTCAGGAATGTGTCTTTTCCACTTTTGTTTTGACACTTTGCTGTATTACAATATTGTGTATCATTTTTCTTTGTTGATTTATGGAGTAACTTCACTCTGCATACTAATCGTTTAAGTTTCACTGCCTAAAGTTTTTGAAATATGTAAAAGTCACCTTCAATCCAGGTCATAGGAATCACAATAAATTTGTCTTTTTCTAAATTAAAGTGGTTTACAGTATTTTATTTAAATAATTCTTTCATTTTTATACCCAAAAAAAATACAAAAATTATATCACTAAGCGAGAGAAGAAATAATTCCAATCTACTTGAAATACTAAAGTGAGTTATTCTAGAAGGAGGTGTTGTTAAGATGAAACACCAGGATTCTGCACACCAAGGTGATGATAGCAATTCTAGCAGACACTGTACACTTTTAAACTATCACTGGTAAAAATGTTTGGAATATATGCGGAAGTCCCACGCCTTCAGAATCAAAATGAAGCGTCACTCAACAAAATTTCACAATTATTCTTGGCTCATAAAATTCATAAAAATGTGTCGCTTGTGAAATTAAACCCACAGCAATTTACAGTAGCAATTTAGGCCTGAGAAACTGTCTGTCACCATAACAACTTGAAACACACATGAATGTGATCTATTTTAAAAGAAACTTATTATTTAATTGTAAAACGCTAACTCATGCAGCTTTGTAGGTGCAGCTAATTTTTAATTAATAATATAATATGTTAACCACCTCTAATACAATCATTGTTATGGTAACCATGCTTGATTTCTTACCCCATGGCATGATTATTCTAATATGATCTGGGGAGAAATCTACCAACATATGAGTTAATACTCACAATTGATTTGAGATGGCCACATATATATTTCCTGTATGATACAAAACAAGTTTATACATTCTTACGAATTCTATACTTCTATTGAAAAAAATTAATTTAAAATAAACAGGATCCAATCAACATATTCAGTAGAAGCCATAGTATACTGTATAGAGCTTAATTATTCGCTGGGTTTTATTTTTACCTATTTCGCAGACAGCTAAATGCACTAAATCAAAACACAGTGGATATTCAAATTTAACATTAGAATGCATTGTTCACTCCACAAACCAATGAATATCTCTGTAACCTCAAATCTGCTCAAATTAAACCCAGTGAATATTTTCCACCTCTACAGTATTAAACCATCACAGGAGAAATAACAAGATTTTGGAAACCACTAATACCCAATCAGGGTCATTCAATTTAAAAATGAAATTGCTATTTGTACATCAATCTCCTGTGTTATTTGGACTAGTTTGATTTAAACATTCAGGGTTCTGTCGATTACAATATGTAAACTAAATTAGTAACTAAATTCCCTCCGGGAATGCAAGAGGTATACCATCAAAAGGGAATTGAAATCTCAAATTGATAATTATTTCAGAACAATGACTTTTAATTCTATTTTCAGTAACACATTTTGATTTGAACAGAGAGGATGTAATAGAAATTTTTCTCAATGACGAATCAAGCGCACATCAGATAACTCATAAACTACTTTACTATCGTTTTAATTTCACAATAGAAATTTTTTTTGTAATTATCCCAAATCTTTGTAAAATTATCACTGATGTCATTAATGAAAAGAAGTCAGTGACTATAACAAATATTAAATACCTAGTCAAAGATTCAAAGAACCTCATACACACATAGATCTTTTGGGCAAAATAATATTCAAAAAAACATTTTTCTATAATTTTGGGGTTAATTTTCAATAAAATGGACAAAATTTCACTTTTTGGCTATAGGTCTTGATGGAATTTTTTTTTTTAAATATCAAAAAACTTGTGTTGATTTTATTCTGTGAAATGTGACAAAAATCAGCTTGTCACTCAAATTGTTAAAATCTTCAAACATTGCATGGGACCCATACATGGCTTGACAACTGTGATGCTTCTGATTTTTAAAGATTTAGTAAAATTTGAATTAAGAAAGGAAAGCAGACAAAAAGCAAATAAAAGGAGCATTAGGTTTGTTATGGTTAAGATGGACTCAGTGAATATAGATGATGATGAAAAAATCTTTACCAGAAGTTATCTCACATAACTTCAGTTTTCATTAAATAATAAATTACATCTTGAATAAAGTAATGTACAGTATTTGGGGTGAATCATACTCACAAAGGGTAGTCACAGCAATATGCAACGTGGGTGGTGAACTTTAGTGTATTGGTGTTTCAAATCAGGGGTATAGTTCCGGGAAGCATTTCTAGTATTTCGTATTCACTCAAGCCCAGTGGCATTATCAAATCTCAGTGTACGAAAGAAAGTGCAATGTTTTAACAGGTTTATTCCCACAAACATGTACAAATGTACGACGTAGAAGTCTGACATGAGAATTTATGGGTTGCAAGTAAATTTATTTTTTACTAGTTATATTGCAGATTTATTAGTGAACACTAAGATGTTATTTTCAATGATTAATGTGAATAGGAGGGGGGGAAACTATGATCGAGTTGCTTTCCCAGAAATAAACAATTTAGTTCATACAATCAGACAGTACAGGGAAATTGTTGAGGCTAATTCCATCTTGGAACAATTACTCGTACTGTAAACATTTAATTTTAACTGCTAGAAATTTTTGTGATTTTAGGATTTTATGGCAATCATGAAAACAAAATTTTGGGAAAGTCACAATTAAAGCATTTCACTGTAATACGTCAGAATGAGAAGTGTTTGTAAGAACATATTCAAATGAGATTTAAAACATTTGACATTAATGATTTCCACAGGAAAGTAACACTAGACACATTATAACAGTACGATATTGGCAAGTCATCAGATTCAACAAAAAACATTGATGGTGAGATAAAGAAATCCTTGACCCACAAGACAAACTTACAACTCCTCATAAAAATCCTAATAGCCACTGACAGAGAACAGAACACCTTACTAAATAAAGCTAGGGATTCACTTCAGATGATTAATTTATCTACACAAGGCTAACAACATTTGTGAAGACACATTTTACTCAGAGCTTCTGAGATGCCCAGAGGCGAAAATCAAAACATTGCTATTAGAGGAGTACTTCAAGAAAATCACTGACAAGGAACAATTCATTGCATTACATCCTGTATCAGAATGTTTTGCATGAATGAGAAGCAATGTTTCTACTTCCAGAATTGACTGGCTTAATGAAAGTATAGCTGACTAATAGGCTTGGAGTTCCATCTACATTGCTTGTGCATTTAATTCACATACTTACACTAAATTGAATTCTGTTGGCATGTACGACAGGATTGAAAGCAAAAGCAATTTTAAAGTGACAGAATTTCTGGGGCATACATACATCTACAGAAAAATAAACTCAGTGCACCCTGTAACCTTATCAATGTATGACGAGTAGTAGAACACATATTCACAGTTCAATGTATTGTTTTACATCATTGTGCCAATTATGGATAATTGCGAAACACATGTGAAGTACATGTAAATTAGTGTTGTTTTTTTTAGTGTATAACAATGTCTAATAAACTATGGTTGAACCACAGGCAAAAAACACTTCAAATGTAAGGTAATCAAAAAACACATTGTGGTTTATATGTTTTTAACTTAAATTGACAGTGCCTACGATTACTTTAAAATGTCCGGAACAAATTACCTTGATCTCTAAACTGATTATTGGAACTATTGAAATTATTGATCATAGTACTCACCCCTGCAGAGCAAGACTGCGAGAACCGATGACAGAAACAGCAGCATTTTAGCCGATCCGCTAATCTTCGATTTTTACTAGCTTTATAAAGAGTTCGATAACAGGCGCTTTTGAAGCAGTACTAATATCTGGCGCGTGTCTCTTCTGATCCGTTGTGGGAGAAATGTTAGCCGTTTACTTACGTCGCAGCACTTCTCGCCTTTTTGTTGATATCGTTTGGAATGTTCTATTTTATTCTAGGGGTGTGACTTGAAATAAACATCGATCTGGGAATAAAAATACGCAAATAAATCGTTTACGTCACTAGACTTTTCTGTTACAAGTAATGATTATTTATCTCTGAAAAGCTAAAGCGAATTAAATCAAAATGGCAATTCCAAAGTCTTAACAACATGTGCTTTTCACCAAAAGCATCATTACCCGTTTCGCCCCTCGCATAGTAGCCGCAGGTTTACGTCATGAGAAGTGTAAACTAAAATTAGACCGGAAACACTTGGAATAGACCACCCCACAACAGGGGGGTAGTATAACTTGATACCTCGATTATTCAAACTTACCTTGTTTTCTATGACGGAAACAGAAGTTTCGTATTTTCTATAAGTATGCCGTATTGTGTGAACTGACAATTTTCAACAACAAAGCCGTATTTTTAACGGGCAATGTAACTTCATCAATCAGAATACCTGAGTCCACCAATGTTATGTTTTGACTCTCCGACGTTGCGCGGGTCAATAATAAATTATTCATTCATAGATATACTAGTAGTTAGCGGAACGACTCGCCTTGCCAAGTTATCAGTGGGGATTCTTGAATGCATCGCTGGCCGCTGTCATCACTGGAGTTTACGACTGAACAAACCACATTCTATCTATGTGCGGGGCAAGCTTGTGAATCACTGGCAGTGGTAGGCAAATTGAACTCCTGACACAGCAGGACCAACTGGCACCAGAAGCGTGATATAATGGCAGTTTATATTGTCCACGGTGACCTAACCTCCAGGGATACCAGAAAATACCATCACACTTTGTCCTTCATATCTTTGCACATGAAATTTAACCAATATATCCAGGCAGTTCAGAGGCAACATTCAAATGGCCGCCATTTCAGTGCTATAAGCTATTCGCCAATCACGACATGCGTTGCGTCAGCTGGTTATTCACGTAATAAGGACTCCTATTGGCTCAAAGTTCTAATCGTCGCAAAAATTGTCGTCTGCCAGTGGGTGTTAATCAGTCCTGTAATCTGAATAATAATTGAAATATCTCCCAGTTACTCTGTAAAGACGGCATATATCCACGTTCTTGGGCTAAATTTTAAAGGTCTCCGTGATGGACGATTGCTAAACTTCTAATTTGGTTTGTCCACACATTTGTTATGGTTCATCGAAATTTGTCACTGTATGTATGAAAACCATTTTCGTTATAACAAGTTGATGTAATCTGGTTTGTATTCTTTGTTTTCTGTTCCTCTGAAAGATTGCTTTTTGCGCTGTATTCAAGACCAGGGGATATGAATGGCCGATTCACAAATAATCACGTTAATGTACCACGAGTTAACTATTCAGTTGTTTCGTTTTTATTCAGATAAAGCTGTGGTTTATTTCGACTCGACAATCTCCGACAGATTGCTCCATCCCAATACATACTGTCAGGCCTGTTTGTATAGATCATCATGCAAAAAACTCAACAACGAGAGCATGAGAAACAGCCATTCTTCAAGCCATTGAATGCAAATTCAAACAACTCGAACTTCTTTACTATGAACGTCCGGGAATCAAGTTCCGAATCCACCAGCAACCCTGCTTCGTTTTTCCAGGTATCTATTCATTATAATAAACTCACAATTTGAAAGTTGTTAATTGCATTAAATTTCATGGCCTTGAGACAAAAGTCCCATGGGGGTAGACTGTAGTATCATTAAACGACAACCACTTTTCTTTTCATATATTCCGATGCTAATCACTGAATTATCAAATTCAATGTGGAAATTTATTATTTCACTTTTTGATTTGCTAATTAATAAGACCACATTTCTGATCCCCTGTCAAACTGATTCAATCATGTGTATTTTGTTGAACTCTTTTAATGCAGGTATCTAACAGCAATTGTACATCAGAACTCAAAATGACTACCATTGTTCCCTTTATGTATCAAGCCATTTGATTGATTGTTGTATTTACCGGTATACAGACTTGTAATAAGCCAATGAGATGACTGATTTTTTGATTTTGCATCATTATTTAACCTGAATCTAGCATCTCAAAGAATAATGTGAAATGCAAGCATGCAAAGTTCCAGTGCCGTTTCTATTGGGACAAATCTAATTCCAATTTTGACAAGTTATTTTGCGGTAAATCCGGCTTTCGCGGAAATGCATGTTTTGCCATTCTTTGGTATTCTGAAAGTTTTTTTTTTTTTTTTGAAAAAACACCAACAAATAAACAAGGAACTGACTGTATGCATGTCTGCTACCATAACAGAGACATAGCAAAATTATTTAAATGCCACAACAGTCATTAATATGTCGCAATTCCAATAACTGATTATAAAACCAGCTTTAAGCTTTAAATAGGTTTCTGAATTTTAAATTTTCTCCTGGTTCTTCCATAGATTTGTACCTTCGTCAAAATTAACCTGATCAAGGTATAATGTACAATTTGGAAGCTATTTTTATTTTTCTCAAATTAGGTTAAAATCCCTTTTTTTTATTTTGTCCACTATGCTTTGTTGGTAACTTGATAAATTCATGTTCAAAAGTTTCATGGTACCGGTATAATCGTATATATAGGTTTAAATATTGGTAGATAAGTTATGGGTATATTTGTAAATATAGGTTTAAATTCTGTTAGATAAGTTATGGTTAGTATTTCGGTAAACTTAAAATCAATTGCTCATTGAAGCTTGCTTTTGAAAACAGTAAGAAAGCTGGGCTGTGTTTGCAAAAAATGATATTTACCAATGACCAGTCAGGAATTTTACTTCTGCCCTCTATCAACACTATTTGTTGGGCTGATAGAGGGCGCTTGACATTCTGGTGTACCATTAAACTGCTTATTTGTCAGTGGAGTTACATAATGCTGCATTAAAACTAGCTTGCTTTCAAAACCACTACATATTTAAATTGTGGATGAGAATGATTTTCACTTAAAAAAGTGTTTATGAAAAGGCAAAGCCAGCTGGCAGACATCTTGGAAGTTAAGTTACACCTGTACTCTGTACTGTACTGTACTGTATGTCTATTATACATGTTTTGACTGTTATATATACCCCCCTATATACTGTATTGCTATATTAGTAGCACATATGCTTACATAATTAACAGTAGTGTGTCTATGGACAAATTAGTCGTATTTAAATAGTCCAGCATACAATAAATGTAATTTTTGGTTTATGTACTGTACACTTGTATTGGAGATGTGCCATAACTTTAGAAATTTATAAGGAAACCTGCCAACATGACCAACATAAATCAATTTCTTGGTTAGTTATATATGCATTAGATTTGGGGGTACATAGTCTATATGTGGTAGCAAAAATAATAGTTTATGTGAACTCTTGATATTTTAATGAGTGGACGAACAAGCAGGTATGATCAAATTCTGTCAGCAGCATTTCTATGGTGATCAACCTTCCAAAATATCAGCTTACAATTTTTGAACCTGATGATATGACCAGAGATTTTTTAACATTCTGACACTTACTTTTGAATTATTTTACATCTTAGTTTTCAACCCACTCTCAAAATGTTGCTCCATCGAATAACTTTAATGGGCAAATTACATCTCGTCCACGAGTCTTACCAAACACGGTTGCTGCAAGTCCAGCTCGTCCACAGCAACAAATACAAATTCAGAGTCAACAAACTACTGGGAGTGATAAGATTGCAATTCTTCACAGCAGACTAAATGTAGAGGCTGAGAAAATCCAAAAATGGAAAACGACAACAGAGATAGAAATAAGACAAAAGGTAACACACATTTACTATACAATGGCAACTGTGTTGATGATGTAGTTTGTAGGGACTGCAGTTGTCAAGTACATACAATTTTGATAACTTTGTATTTAAATTATGTGAATCTGTTCCGTTTGTACACATGGATGCAATATGCTTTGAGATCTGCTTGTTAATGGTATTATTTGCCACAGTTTAAGATAAATATTTCTGAAAATAAATCTACCGGTACAATCTAGCCAGTCTAGCCAGTTATTATGGACTTGTATTCAGTTACTATTGTGCTGCATCATGCTTCCAATAACTTTTCAATAGAATGTACAATGAGGGTAGTTAATTAAGATACATGACTTGTATGCATTTGTGTTAATTATTGCAGATCACATTTAGAACTTTACTATGTATTTAGTCTTTAAACTTCTTATCTCTGACATATTTGCAGGACAAGAAGATCATTGATGGCCAACAAACCATTGAGTCTCAAAGGAAATCTATACTAGAATTACAGGTAATACATTTTAATTTTAATTTGCTTTTCAGTTTGATAAAAAGTAACTTTATGACTCAGTTGCCACACAGTGCACATTCTAATTTGTATTGTATTCAAGCAACTGTGTATGATGACTCATTGCAAGTCTTATTGTTTTTTAATGAAAAAAAAAAAAAAAGTCCCTGACAATAGATTTGTATCCCTCGCATGCACCCTCAGTGACATGGTCTAGGTTTTTAGCCACTGATGTAACAATAACCATAAGGACTAATCAGAAATTACCACATCTACCACATAAGGCAAATGCTTTCATTTTTGCAACATAGATTCTTGGGGTAGTCCTCTGTTAGACTTGTTCATTTCATGATGATATCTTTGATTCTTTAATTTTTATGAATATTTTTGTCATTTTTGGTAAAAAATAATATTTTTGACTTCTTGTTGAAAACCGCAAGTCTGATTGCTTTGATATATGTATAGGTACTACGTGTAGACCTCTCTCAGATTTGTTCATTGCATGATGATATCTTTCATTCTCTAATTTTAATGAATATTTTTGTCATTTTTGGTAAAAAGTGATATTTTTGACTTCTTGTTAACAACCGCAAATCTGATTGCTTTGATACTATACATATTGCTCATTTTCTAATGATATCCTCAGTTCTTTTAATGTATATTGCTAACAGCGGGCTATCTTAGCTGAGAGGCTTGTTATAATGTGCAGATGACATTTGACAAAAATAAAATCGTTTGCTTTGTTATCGATATTATATTTTTTGTTCAAACTTGTATCGTCAATGTTTTGTGATGTCATAAGGTGACTTTATCATTGAGTTGCCATGGAAAGAATAGGGTATATAAAACTGTGACTATTGCAATGAGTTTGTTGCCACACATCAGTGCACACACTGCATTCCATACAAACTGGCCATATGATATGTAAACTGAAACTTGTGAATATTAATAGCATAAAACTTTGCCAGGGACACAAGTCCTTTCATAACCATTCACCAACACTGCACTATTTACTTGCTTACAGAAACACAATTTCACAAAAGTGACTGTCCTGACATATTTGATATATTACATGCAGATCTCTTAAATAGAAGCTTACTGAAATCAAAAATTGCATTTAAAATATAGTGTGTACTAAGTACTATAGTGGCACTAAGCAAATACAGTATTACTCTCCTTCTTCTCCTCAGATAATTAATAACATAAAATGAAGCAATAATAGAAAAGATGAATGTGCACTGTTACAAGATTTTGTGATTTTCTGACGACTCCTGGCATTTGCAAAAAATTCACCCACAGAATTAAAGTAGTTTACAGTAATTTCATCTACACTGACATTCATCAATTTTCAAGACCATTACAAATTTATTAGTACATTATTTATTAACAGGATTTTTATACCATTCTAATGTTGTTATTTTTTTCTATAGCTGCAGAGTGAAAATCTAAGTGCAAAACTTCAGGAGGAGATGGACAACAGAGTTGAAATCATACAAAAGTGAGTAGTTGAGATGCTTAAAGGTTCTTGTTCTGATGAAATCTGAAGCATTTAAACAGATTTCTGCCATTCCAAGAATGGATCTAGGTCATCAATTGACAGATTTCATTCAAACTTGGTACATATTTTGATGCACACCATTTGTTTTTCAGATTGCATTCAAAATGGCCAACTGGCCACCATTTTGTTCCAGATCGATACCTCTGATATGCCTTGAATAATTCAAACTCTTGGTACCCTTGAG